TTCATTAAAAGAAAACACTCCTACGTGGATCATCTCTGAGTTCCATTGATTATAATACGATGTCTAGCCCTAACTTGAATAAAAAAACATTTCGAACCCATACCCCAAATCGAAGAAGAAGATGTCGACTCCCAGTTCATCTGGTTCCATCGCAAAGAAAGAGGAGCTTTGTGATTGTCGACTCCCAGTTCGAATATGCACATCCAAGACTAAAGACAACCCTAACGAAAAGTTCAAAGTTTGCCCCAATTCTTTGGTATGTGGATCTTGATTTCCCTCTGTACTTTTGATTTTCCTTCTAATAAATAAAGAGTTTGAGCTTCTTACCATCTTTATATTTGATTTCGAAGAAACCAGGTAAGAAGTGTAAGTATTGAGAATGGATTGATGAACCTATGACTGCGAATCCGGATTTAGAACAAGAACTTGAAGCAGTTAAAGAGGATGTTGTATGTTTGAAGAAAGAAGTTCAAGAGCTGAAGAATAAAGCACATAGTTATAGGGTAGAAATCAGTTGTAATATTATCTGAAAACAGTTGAATAGAGTTTGGTATGATACATTGAATTGTGGTAGTTTGAATGTAGGGATTGAATGGTTTATATGGAATGTATTGAATGGTTTATATTGAATGTATTGAATGGAGTTTGCCTATTGAATAAAGTGTTACATGGTACACATTTGATTGTAATTTACATTGAATTTGGCTGCAATTTCAACAACCAAAAGACAAGGACAATGATAATTGAATTTGTATACAATTTCAACAACCAAAAGACAAGGACATTAATAGAAACAAATATGATTCCCAGTAGACAATTGACATATGATTCCCATTATAACCTTCTTAATAAACTAATGCATTAATACCAATAAAGACTGAAAAAGACAAAACACAATTGACATAGGATACCATATTCGATTCCATTACTTAAAGGCCATCAAAAGTTGTCAGGTTACAAGCAAGGGTAGTATTGTCAATTACATCAAAAGTTGGCCCAATTAACAAAAGAAAGTCACCATACATAGTGTACTATTACATACTTCCAAAGCAAAAGAAAAGTAACTGGGTTGTCCTCAGTCACTCCTTTTCCATCCTTTCGAAAAACCTGCTTCCTGATTTGTATCTTGTTGATTCTCTCTGAAGGCTTCCTTTCTCTAACACCAAGGCTCTTAGGCACTCTAACACCAAGATTCACAGACACTTGGTTAACAGGTACTGCTTGGTTAACAGGTACTGGATTCACAGGATCTTGGTTGATAGGTACTTCATTCACAGGAACTTGATTCATATGATCTTCATTCACATGCTGTTGATTCACAGGGATATTCTCTTGAATGTCAGGCTCTTGATTCATAGGGACATGCTCTTGAGTCAAAGGATCTTGATTGACATGTGTTGGAGCACCTGGAGCTGGAGTGCTTGGACCTGCTTGTGAAGGACAATTTTTTGCATTACTCTTCTTTCTTGCTTTACTTGGACCTGCTTCAGACGGACCCCTCATTGGACATGTAGCTTTGTTGTGTCCAGTTTCATTAGAAATTATGCATCTGTGTTGAACACATGCCCTGCTTATAGTATGCCTTGTATTCCCACTGAGTTCATTTTCTGCTTGGTCTCTTTTTCTTTTCACACATGGCCTACCAAGTAACCTCCTCCTAATAGGAGGCAGTATCTGGTGAACATTAGGCATGTGGGGTCACAAGGAACTATCATTCAAGGGATGTATGGTGTACTCATAGGCCCTAAGAAATGCATATTTAGTAAACGACTCTGCAACATATTCCTCTAAATCAAGATCTAAAGAAGATATGACACATATGGAATGTACACAAGGAATTCCTGTCAATTACCAACCTCTACATCCACATTCTCTCTTCTCCAAGTCAACACCATACCTTTCATTACATTGCACAACTTCAAACTGTTTGTATCCGCTAACATATGGTGCCCAGAATCTGTCAATAAAAAAAGTTAGTTATCAATTGCATGAACAAAAAGTAAGTAAAAGTGTTTGTAACAACTAACCTTCTCAACTTCTTTAGTTCACCAAGCGTCCTTCTGATAGTTGGACAGATTGCCAAATTCTAGCCCAATCCTTTCCCTTTCTGCATGTACAATCTCTCCATCACAAATACCCTTATGTCCTCTAACATAGCGATCAATGGCTTCTTTCTAGCTTCTTGAATAGCAGCATTGAAGCTCTCAGAAACAACATTTTCCATTGCATCACATCCCACTCCCACCTTAAAAAAGCCCTTGACCAACAGTTGGGGTCTCTTTTAATGATATAATCATATGCCCCTACATCAAAGCTCTTGATCTCTTCCATTGCAAGTTCAAAATTTTGAATTGTATTTGCCTTTACAACCCTCCAAAAGGCTTAATGTAGCACTCACCCTTAAAATTTTTATGGAAGTTAGCAAGGATGTGCCTAGCACACAACCTATGCTCTACTTCTGGACATCTTTCTTTCACATCCTCCATTATACCCTACATTGATTTGGAATGTTAGTTTGTGTAAAAGGCAATTTTTCGTAAAAGGTAATTTGTGTATATGTACCTTGTGTCCATCTGACATCAATGTGATTCCATTACCATTTCCCCATTCATCTATGTCTTCCATTATATTGTCCAAGAACCACTTCCACGTACTCTTGTTCTCAACATTTACTACTACCCAGGCTATTGGGTATATGTTATTGTTGCCATCCCTTCCTACTGTTGAGAGGAGCTCCCATTTACATATGCCCTTCAGAAAACATGCATCTATCCCAATAACCTTCCTACACCCATCTAACCAGCCATCAACCACTCCTTTAAAACTCACATAAAACCTTTCAAACACCACAATAGAATTACTTTGGGGTTGCACGTAAACTTCAACCTAAGATCCTGGGTTGGCCCTTTTAGTTTCAGCTCCATAATCCCGCAACTTGGAATAATGATCCTAAATCACCCTCAATTTCACACAATGCAAATCTTTTTGCATTCCTACATTGTCCAACACTAACATTTATGTTGAATAACTTGGATACCATAGCTTTCATCTTCCTCATACTCATTTTAGGGGACTCCAAAATATCAGTGACAAACTGTTTTCCTATCCACTTGTAGGTAACAATTGACCCAAGTTTGAATGCCCTTGAGCAACTATGGTCTTCTCTGAGGGACTTTATTTGAAATGTTTGTTCATCTTTCATTCAGGAAGCCCACAGTCTAAAAGGGCATTGTGGTCTTTTTCCTTTACAAGTAACCTATCCTTGTCATTCTTCTCATAATACAAGTCATATCCATGTGCAACTGCATAGTTATTGAGAGATGACTTAAGTTCAGCAGGAGAAGACAATCTCATACCTAGTTCAGGCTTCATCTTCCTCCATTCCTGAGTAGCATCATGCCTAGGGTAGACAGCTGGAAGTTCATTGCCTTCTTCATCTTCATCTGCAACAACTACTAGACATAACTTGTTCAAAAACTTATCATTATAGGTTCTTTTGAAGATTCTTTTGCTTGATGTAACATATTCATCCTCTTGATGTTCACAGTTCTCATCATCTGCCAAAACAGAGTCGACATCTTCTTCTGAATACACAAGTTCTTCATCGTCTGGTTCTTCTTTCTGAATCCACTCAAATATAGGTTCATTATCATGGTCAATATACACATCCACATGTCTGTTAGCATTTGTAGCCTCAAGAAACTCAGAGTAGTCACATTCATTTTGTAGTGTTTGGAGCCCCTCACTCAATCTCACTTCAGGTATACAGTAATACACATGCTTGCACTGAAAATCGATAAGCTTCTCAACATATTTGATGAAAACCGAATAAAACAAACTCGTTTGCATCTTCATTCAGTCGTAGTACTTCTGGAGCAAAATACACTAATGGATTAGGCACAAAAGTACCATTATAATGTACATCGACTTTTGGAAAAGCTTGATTTTCCTCCATTGAATCAGAATGGTGTTTTAAGAGAAGAGAAGGGTGAGTAATGAGGCACTGAGCAAGAACGGATTGTGAGAATAAAGACAATAGAACCCAACTGATCTTCGTTTGTAAATGAGGTTTCTTCATAAATGAGGGTGAAAGAGGGTAATTGTCACGTAATTGCCACGTAACTAAATTCATTTTCCTTAAAATCCCGTAAAACACAAATTGATCGGCTTAACCGGCATCAACCGGTAATAAGGACTTAATTTATACACAACAACAAGTTCAATGGTAAAATGTGGACCAAAAAAAAAGTCAGAGACTAAATGTGTACAAAACCAATAATATGTTACCATTTTAAGTCATTATTCATTGTTTTTGAGTCGTGTAATTAAACTAATAAAATCCACTACCTATATATACTAAAAGGGTGTTTGGGATTGCTTTAAAAATGACTTTTGGATTTTTTACTTTTCCAAAAAGTCAAAAATATTCAAAAGATGTTTGGCAAGTTTAGAAGTTATTTTTAAAGCAACTTTTGGGCAAGGGAAAAAAGATTGATTCCAAAAGTCACAATTAGTGACCTTTTGTGACTTTTGTGTTTAAAAGCAATTTTTGTCTTTTGCCCATCCAAACATTTTTAAACCACTTCTTTTGAAAAAAGTTCTTTCCGAAAAAAATATTTTATAAAAAAGACTTTTGAGCTGAAAAAGTTATCCCAAACACCCCTAACAAACATGAAAAAATGGCATTTTATGCAAAAGAAAAAAAAAAACAAAACAGCTGCTTTTTTAACCGGTTTCTCAAATCAATTCGACTCAAACCGGATTCAACGGGCAAAATCTAAAAAAATATAAAAACGGTCAGTTTTATTAAAACCGTACCTGTTTAGCTCAAACAGATTCGGATTTGAAACCACTTTGGATCCTGAACCTTTTTTTGTGCACCACTAATTATTATTATTATCTTATAATAATATAAGTAAGATATACATTTAAGTAATTTAACAAACAAATGTCCTACTATAATAATAAATTAATGACTGACTATACAGAGAAAGAAGCATGAACCCCACTCCAGCCCACCCTTCCCATTCATTACTATATCTTCAAGTAGAAACACAAAAACACACATAACCCATGGATGATGTATGGAAAGACATCAGCAGCCTTCCATCTCTTCACCACCCTACCACCACTCATCACCTCCAAGATTTCTTTGATCCAGATGCAGCCAGGGCTGGTGGAGGTGGTAGTGGAGCCACCCTCCACCACCCTTCTCCTCCATCACCACCACCGCCACCGCCACCCACCACCATGTTAAGTCTGAGTACTTCTGGTAACTCAGCACATGATCAAGAACCAATACATAATAATTCATCAACAGGAGCCACTCCACATGTAACAAATCAAAGATCCCCCCCTAAGTACAGTGACAAGTTCAAGCGTCTGATGAAGAACCGTGAATCAGCTGGTCGCTCTAGAGCTAGAAAACAGGTCTCTCTCTCTCTCTCTCTCTCTCTCTCTATATATATATATATATATAATATATATATTATATATATATATATATATATATATATATATATATATATATATATATAATATATATATTGTATTCATCTAAAAATACAACAGATAATTTCATATATACTTTAATACATATATCTTACCATCAATTAAACTGTTTAAAATGTCATATTTTTTATTTTATAAATTAAATATACTTTGAATCACAGTCAAATACCCCTGTGCTATGAAGTTGCTTACATGAAGTAATACTTTAATGCTATAAAGTTGCTTACAAATTAAAGATGAATGTTTAATTCTTTTATTTTTTTTAGTTACAAACATTTCTTATTAAGACTTTTTATTAGTTATTTCTATCGTCGTTTTACGTTATATCTTTGCCAAAGAGCATTTAAGACATTTAATAAATATTAAGAACTCTTCCAATTAAATTAAAAATATAAAATACATATTTTAGGATTTTCATTGTGGCATGTTTGAAGACTGTTTGTGCCAATTTTAAAGAAAACGAATCCTTTATTTTGATCATTTAAAATATTTATATATTACAAAAAAATTATTTGTGTTTCGGTTGTCAAGGATAACATATCTTTGACCCACTTGCAATTTTAAAATATATAAATGAAAAGATAAAATATTCAACATCGGTAAATTTTATTATCTTGAATTGGACGAATGGATTGATGATTTGGATTTATACTTTAATTAAGATGGAGTATTGATCAATCTTCTCATGCTTTTGATTTCAAATGCATTAGTTGAAGAAATAAGATTTACTTTTATATATATATATATATATATATCTATATATATATATATATATATATATATATATATATATATATATCTATATATATATATATATATATATATATATATATATATATATATAAGGTATTAATTAAAGTATAAATCACTTACAAATTTTCTAAGTGATTAAATGTATATACAAGATATGTTATTTCGTCGTAGATTATTTGAAATCAAAAGCATGAGAAGATTGATCACTTAGTATAAAATTTATGCAAAATACAATCCCGATCCTAATAAGATTATTTTTGAAGCAACACCAAATTTAAGATGGCAAGACTGAAGACACTGGGACTGTATTAATTTCGTAAGACCATATGCCACTCGATCCTACCCATATTCGTTAACTTGCTCTTAAGTGTATACAAGTGTAAGCTATGATGTTTTTTCTAAAACATCTTCAGTAATAGGTTTTTTTTTTTTAATATCAAATATTATTAATCAATCCAAAATATGTTTTTTTAAAAGACTGAGTAAATTTGGTTTAGGTTAATAACCACTTTTACTCTATTTTTTTAGCTTCATGTTTTGTATAATTAACCTCATTCTTTAATAATGCTCCCTTTTACATTCCTTATTATATTTATCTTCTAAAGCTTTATTGTTTTTGACTAACTATATATATATATTTTATTTTGATATTCGGTATTAAGTCATATCATATTTTATTGTTTTCTAATCAATACTACAAAAAGCCTAAAAAGACCCGGTTTTAAGCTTAATATAACCCGGTTTTCAACCGGGTTCCTTATAAACAAGTCCTAAGTTGAAATCCTGATAGAGCCCGACTGTTAAACCGGGTCATATTTCCATAATAAAGACCGGTTCCATCACAAAAAACCGGGGTTTTTCTTCAAAAACCCGGGTTTTACATGCTTTGAACCGCGTCATATTGCTTTTTTTTTCATAAAACCCGGTTTCTACATAATATTATTCGGTTTTTTGAAAAACCGATATGGCGGGTCCTATGTAACTTTCTGTAGTAGTGTATATTTATAATAAGATATCATGTAACAAGATAAAAACTATATATGAACTCTGGTTTAGTAGTCTTGATTTAATTGTATGTATTATAATATATTGAATTTATTTAACGCCATTGTCAAATACTTTTTAGTTTTATAAATATTACATATAATTAAAACTAAGAAACTAGATGAGTGGCTTTATAAAATACTACACAAAAATAAAGATAAATTAATTAATTAGAAAAAAAAAATCTTAAAAATGGTTAATGATCGTAAATCTTTAATTGAATAACATCTATTCTAATAAATAAAGATTTTTTTGTCAAATGTTACACTCTCATTCAATTTGTCAAATGTCATTTTGGGGGTATTTTGAATTAATTTTTTTTTTCAAATGTCATTTTATGGGTTTTTTATTATATTAAATTTCACATGATATTTCAATGTAATAACTACAATAAATATAGTAATAAATGAATATCAATTTTATTAATGAACTTACCTTTTAATTTTAAAATTCTTAAATTAAAGTTCATTAGTTTCTTTTGTTTATTTATTTAAATTATTTTTTAATTTAAAAGCTAAAAAAACATTTCAATTTTAATAGCACTTTATTTTTCTTATTTTCTTATAAATCAAAAGTTCTCAAATATTTAGATATATATATATATATATATATATATATTTATATATATATATATATATAAATTAATCCATGTAATACATGGACCTCACAACTAGTAAACTATAATACAATAAGATTAGGATTCACAAGGTATTGTCGTATCTTGGAAGTCACCATCTTAAAAGGACTTAATTTTTTTCACGACCCAACGGGATACATGTAAGTTTAAGATCCTCTACCAATTTTTTTCTTTTAATATATTAGATCAGTTTTCTAAGGTTAGTGATCTCCCATCATGGACCTTATACACTAACCTTAGAAAACTGATCTGATATATTAAAAGAAAAAAATATGTATATGTATAAGGTCCATTATGGGAGATCACTAACCTTAGAAAACTGATCTGATATATTAAAAAAATATGTATATGTACATGTATATGTATAAGGTCCATTATGGGAGATCACTAACCTTAGAAAACTGATCTGATATATTAAAAGAAAAAAATTTGGTAGAGGATCTTAAACTTACATGTATCCCGTTAGATTGTGAAAAAAAAATTACGTCCTTTTAAGATGGTGACTTCCAAGATACGACAATACCGTTTGAATCCTAATCTTATTGTATTACAGTTTCCTAGTTGTGAGATCCATGTATTATATATATATATATATATATATATATATATATTATATTATATATATATATATATATATAGTGAGAAGATCTAAATATTTGAGAACTTTTGATTTATAAGAAAATAAGAAAAATAATGTGTTATTAAAATTGAAATGTTTTTTTATCTTTTAAATTAAAAAATAATTTAAATAAATAAACAAAAGAAACTAATGAACTTTAATTTAAGAATTTTAAAATTAAAAGGTAAGTCTATTAATGAAATTGATATTAATTTATTATTATATTTATCGTAGTTATTACATTGAAATATTATAAGGAATTTAATATAATAAAAAACCCATAAAATGACATTTGAAAAAAAAATTAATTCAAAATACCCACAAAATGACATTTGGCAAATTGAATTAGAGTGTAACATGTGACAAAAAAAATCTTCATTTATTAGAGTATATGTATTAACTTTGAAGTTTATTCTAAATATTTCATTTAGATGATATATTTTTTATGTTTTAAACTTATAAATATTTCATTTTGATAGGAACTTTCGATCTCAGTTCGATCCTATGATCACAGTCTTTCAAAATTAAAAACAATCATATTCAAGATCTCGATATCCTTTTTTTTCTATATTTATCTCTTTTATATTTTAGCTAATAAGAGTAAGGGAAATTGTCAGAAAATTCCCAATATTTTCGAAAAAAATTCACTTTAATCTCAAATTTTTATTTTTTGAACATAAAAGTCCTGATTATTTCATTTTGGCTCAAACTAACAAAAAGATCGTTTTTTTTCTTTTAACAGGAAAATAAAATATTATCGTGTAAAATCAAATAATTGTGACTTTTCTGTTCAAAAAATAAAATTTGGGACTAAAGTGAAACTTTTCCGAATATATTGAGATTTTTCTAACAATTTCCCTAAGAGTAAATTACATAAAACATCCTTATGGTTTGGTGCAATCGGTAGGTTTCTTTCCTATTAATAAATTATCATTGAAACCGTGAATATGGTAGTTTTTTGTTGGAGTATTTATCCCTCACATACATAAAATGACTACTAGTCGTTTACCCGCACAAAGCAACAGGTGGCGAATAGTTTGTTTCGGAAATTAATTTCTTTTTGGCGGACAATGATTACATTTAGTTTAACAATTAGTTTGATTTATGAAATATATCAAATTAAAAATAAGACACAATGTATGTATTGGCAAATAACACTAAGCATTAGTCGGTTCATCAATTTGTTTTCTTTTTGAAAGACAATGTATTGCTTAATGTATTCAACTTTATAAAATCAACCATTCCTTCCTTGTCTCCTCAATCTCATATGTGGAATTAACTCCATCTGGATTCCAACACTTGCAAGAATCCATACTTTTCTCTTTTTTTTTGTTACCCTTTCACAATGTCATCTAGCTTTGGGAAATCATCAACTATTCAGCTCTAGACCTTTAACTGACGATGATTTTTTTCAATCTTATACTTAAAAAGTTAAATAAGAAACTGATTTAGTTACATGAAAAAATATTACTAAATGAATCTTTTTAGAAACCACTATGTTAAGAATAAGAAAGATTGTATAACACCAATATTAAATAGCAAATCATCATTATAAGAAAGCTTAAGTTATATTATAATAATAAGAAGGTCAATCTAACATCAATAATAGTTTGAATACAATCCAAATTTTCAGTAACATAACATTAAATGACAACAAAAGCACGAGTCATGTATATTGCTTCAAACTCATGAAAACCATTTGCAAAAATATCTTAGAATCTTTAAAAAAAATGAATGAAATATGTCAAAAAAAAAAGCATAAGTTTGTTAAAAATAGCTACAAGCTGTCAAACAATTAAAAGGGGTTACTTTGAAGGATATTTCGAAATTGGAGGCTGTGTTGTAAGATTTTTCGAATCTATGGGCTATTTTGTAAGAAATTTCGAAATTAAGGGCTTTTTTTTGTAAGAAATTAAAAAAAAATAGGGGCTATTTTGTAAGATATTTGAAATTGGGGGTTGCTTTGTAAGGAATTTTTAATGTCATGGGCTATTTTGTAAGAAATTTTGAATGTGGGAGCGGTTTTGCACAACGAATACCATAAAGTACAATGTTATAATTGTCTTATCCTACAAACTACAATGCTATTTTGCACAACGAAACATAAAGAACAATGCTTTTTTACACACCATAGCCAAAACAAAAGTACAATGCTACTCTTGTTCTATCCTACTCTTGTTCTTCCATTTTCTATAAAAATAGCAACATTTGTTTTTTACTTGTAACTGAAAAAATAGTTATTATAATTTAAGTTAATGTATATATACATTTCCAATAATTCAACTTCAGATTTTTCGTCATGTGGGTCATTATTAAGGGCATTCTTCTTCTGCTTATTCCATCTGTCTACCTAAAATACCCTTTACAAAGAGTCTATGAATGTGACATTCTCCCTAAAATACCAATTTGTCGAAGCTCTCAAGCAAAATGTGCCATTTCTTCTTTTTGATTTAATAAAGTGTCATGAATCTCCTAAACAATAGACTCCTTCAACTGCTTCTTCATCTAGTAACTGATTGAGACAAAGCATCTGCACGGAAAAACATGTCTCTTAGTGGTTGAGAAATAGATTTCAACTATAATTACTTTATATATAAAAATCCAAATAGATTTCAAATTAAATTAAAAAATAAATTGAATTAATAGATTTGGTCCCCTTTCTTCTTAACAAAAACTTTTTAATTAAAAGTAAATACATTTCGTAGATGATGGTTAAGTTCTAACCGGGAATGTTACACATATACAAGAAAAAAAAATTAAGATTTTTTACTAACTCGAATTAAAATAAGTAGTCATTGTACACCAGGAATACATTATCTAGCATATCTTATGAAAGTCACCCACCATTGCACATACACACATCAAACACACCCAAGCACCACACATGCAAAACATGACACAGCCTCTTTCTCAAACTAAGATTGTATAACACGAATTAAGTTAAACAATATATGAAAACAAAAACATGACACGATGCT